AGATGTCTCTATTCATCTGACTTTCTAGTTCCTATGCATAAATATCAATGTGTTTCTCTGTCTCATCAGAGTTTTATCCAATTTTTCCAACCAGTTTAAATCATGTAACCATGCAAAACGGTTTGTGGAAGCAGCTGGTGAAAACCCTGTTACATATTTGGACAAGCCTTTGGTTTGCAAGCCGCTTCCCCTAGCTGCTAGTAACAGCAGGGAAATGGACACTGACAACCACCCTCATACTTGGTCCAGAAAAGTTATTGTAAATGACCTGCCAAAGGCCTCCTTCAAAGGATGTATCTTTCTTTAATTACAATGAAATATGTTTGTACCAGCTAACATTACTTTAATGCCATTTCATTCCTTGTTACTTAGGAGTACTTCAAACTTTCTGTTGCCAAACAGCTAAAGAATATTGGGGAAGGGATTGAGTTTACTATTGTTTCCCATGATAGAGACTTGTGCTCAGCTGTCATTGAGGTACTTACAATAACCACATGTTAACATAGGCCAACTTTCAGAGGTAAATTATCCGTGATTATGCTCTCTGCTGTTTGCAGTTCAACAACGCTGAGTCAGCAAGCCTTGTGGTGAGTGCAGGGCTCAGATATGATTCCTCCCATCTTACGCTCACACATATGCTGGAGAAAGTTGAGTTTTCTTCTAAAGTTAAATTGTTTGATTTTGACTGTCAGATCTTCTCAGTAAGTTATTTTTATGAGTGTCTTTTTTGTGCTTACATTGTTATAAGTTTAATACATTATATTTGTTGTTAATCCTTTCATTTTTCAGGAATACCTTCAACAGTATTTGATGGGATATGTTGTTAAAGCTGGTCTACTTGGTACTCATATAAAAGATATGGAAGTGTTGGAAAACACCTGCATTGTTGAGGTCAGGTTCATATTTTTACTGCTTAACTCTCAATGTGTTTCTTTCTAATCAAAGGATTATTTAATGTTTACAAACAGTTTGCGTCTTCTGAACACGCTGCCAAATTTGTCAAGTATTCTCAATCTAGCAACAACCCGATACTTTACATGAACGAACCAGTGAAGTGCAAGCACCTTCCTATGAGTGCAACAAACACACAAGAGGTCCGTGCTGTTGCTGAAAAGTTGCCATCAAGCAAAGCAACGGTGCTGGATGCATCATACACCATGCATTCATCATTGAAAGTATGTATTTTTCTTTGCATTTTCTGAAGTATATTGTCAATTTTGTCATGACCCTTTATTTCCCTGTACTTTCTTGCCATGTCTAGGAGCCCATCATTTTAGAGGACTCCTGGGAATCAAATGCTATTTATGACGACCTTCAAGTGGTGTGTGAAGTAGGCACTTTGATTGTGTTTTCACAGGCTTTTAAAATATATACCCTGTCTAACTTTCCCATTTAATTTTTAGGAAAGTGGTACAGCAAATGATTTGCCTTCATTTATGGATAAATTGAGAGCCACCAGCACACCGAAGCACACTTCTGAAGGATCGAACTACCTTCCACAATCTGATGAAGAAGATGAAGATGAGGAATATGAATATGTTGATGAAGAGAACAAGTCAAAGGATACGAACCATGTTCTAGCCCCTTTGAGAACACGCAAGGAAACTGAAATTTTCTTAACCTGCCTTAAAATGAGAATGGTTGATGGAAAATTTAAAGCATCACAGAAAGTATGGCGGGAGGTTTCCGAAGATTTGAGAACTATCCACAACATTGAAGTCTTTGCTGGAGGCTGCCAAACGAGATGGAAATCCCTTGGGGACCGACTCAGAACAGAAAAGACAAAGGCCCAAAGCGTATGGCCCCACCGATTTGATGTTGCTTTGCTAAAAGGTACTCCCAACATATTTGGGAAACGTATTGCATCTCCTAATGTAGGAGTAATCTCCACACCCCTTAGAAAAAAAGAAAAGCTGAAGGGATCCAAAAAGCCAGGTACTAAGGTAATGGGTTGAGTGCCCAACATTTAACACTTGCCTCTCTCAAGTGTTGATAGTTACATTCATTTGCTATCAATGCCTTATTGTTCCATATATTGCCACTGAATCACATTTAATTTGTTTTGCAGGATATAACCTTTAATGACCAGGCAACACTTTGCCTTATCGACTTGCGAACAGAATACAGTGCCCAGTTTGAAAGTCAAAACTACCGCCACAAAGCGCTCTGGGAAAAGATTTCTTCTGAGATGTGCAAAGCTGGCCATGAGTGCAGAGGTTCTCAATGTCAGGATGAAATGGACAAACTAATGGATCAATACAAATCGTTTGAGGAACGAAGGGCAGTAACTGGAAACAACACTGACACATTCGCCTATGAGGAAGAAATGCGCGCATTTATGGGTCACTGGGTAAATGTCCGACCCAAAAGTTTGATTTCATTTGGCTGTGTCAACAGGTGTACCCAGAATTTGTAGTTCTTTTTCCTTGAGTTTTTTTTTTTTTTTTTCTGATTGATTATTTTTCTTTGGACTATTTTATGTACTTGTGATGCGTTGAGATAGGATTCTATTATCTAATTAATGTCAAAGTAGACATTATGAAGAATGAGTTTTATTTTTTGTTTTTACTGAATGATTTTTATATTTCTTTGTAGTATTGTTATCTACTTTGTGATCTATGTAGTTTTTAATGTTAAAGTATTCCAGTTCCTTACTTTTAAATGGGCCTTTTAAGTTATAACAATGATCATTGTTGTGCCCACATTGTTGTGAGATGTTGTCCAGTTCCTTGCATGGAAGATAGTGTTCTCCTATCGGTTTAATGTCAAAGTGGACAAAGTCATAATCAATAATAACGGGTTTTATTTGTTGTTTTATCTGAATGATTTTTATAGAAGATGTCTCTATTCATCTGACTTTCTAGTTCCTA